CCATTTTTGATTGGTTTCTAGGCCAACGAGAAGTCTTTCTTTTTGTTCTTTGGTTCAGACCTCCTGTCTACCAGAGCGAGCTGAAACCCAAAACATGTTGCACAAGAACTCTGAAAATTTCCAAATAATACTAATTTCTGGAACAACATGACTAGCTAATGTTTGGTCCCAGCGAAAGAAGAAAAATGCAAACAGCTTTTGAATGAAAAATGACCAAAGCAGAAAACACAAACACATTTTCATCTCATATATGAGTTAGAATTGCTTTGAAAATGCCAAAACAGCATTCGGAAGATTGCTATTGCCCTTCTAAATTTTCTTTTAATGCACTGAATGGGGCGGAGACACGAGGAATGTCTCTCACTCCTTTCATCCCCAGCCCACCAGGCAGCTAAACCAGGCTCAGCTGCCCTCCTCCCACCCTGAGCAGGTGAGTCAAATGTCATTTCAGTCACCAAAGAGTGAGCGCTCAGCTGTGCCGCCAAGCCAACTTTTACGATGACCATACCAAAAATACCCCACAACCATGTATCAAGAACAAGACCCACTGCTCGGTGGCAGTGTAATTCACCGAAGAAGAGCAGCCAGCCATTGGTGTTGGTACTTCTCAAAATACACGTATTTGGCAGAAGCCAAAGATTATTTTTTGCACTTTCCACAGCTAGAGAAAGTACACTGATGTGTACTGGTCTATAGGGGAAGCTACACGCTTCCCGCATGGTGGTTGGATAGCCTTAAGCCTGCCACGTGAACCCCTTATCTGATGCTGCTGACATTGCTCAGCAAGAAACGCAGTCTCAAAGCTCAACAGGCCCTTTGGGGTCAGCTGGTTTCTACTGCCTGTCACAACCTAATTAAAATGATTTCCAGGGCACAGACAGAAAAATCAAGTCACTGGAGCTATCGCTGCTGGTAAATCATCTCTGCTGCCTGGCTGGCAGCTGACAGATAATAGTTCTCAGCAAGAAGGGTGACCAATAATCAATTTATGAAATATGGACAATCTTTCAGAAAACAGTTTCAGAGCAATTTTTGGACATAAACCTTTTAGTTACAGTGTAATCTTTTAAGACATTAGTGCTCAGGAAGCATGGCAATTGAAGGTTGTCTGTAACCATTGCTCATAGTTACAGAAGTTTCTGGAAACTGCAAGAGAACTGAACAGTAGGTTTTCCTATTTTGTTACAGCTTCAGTTCTAAACCTGGGGCTAAAAGGTCTATGCATCTGGTCCTGGTCTTCCACTAAGACTCAGACCTCCCCACAGGACAAGTAGGAAGTTTCCTAATCCACGTACAGGAAGAGGGAATGTTTCACTCTCTCAGTTTCAGCCTACAGCGCAGCAGAATTTAGGACATTGTTGTCCAACCTCTCCAGCAATCGCTATGAACATTTTGGTCCAAGGTGTGATTGCTCGTTCCCTGACGACCTGGCCAGGTGCATCGTGTCTCCATTTACCGACCATCTCTGCAAAGACCTATATGGTGTACAAACATGAAGAACAAGAAACGAAGAAATCTGTTGGCGGTGATGCATATGATCCTGGTCACTAACTCCATGTATATTGCAGTGTGCCCGCAGTCTTTCTTCTTCTCTCCCACAGAGCCTCCGAGTATTTACTCCTCTATCTAGTCAAGTGAACAGAGGGAGAATCATTCTTTAATGTTCAGTATAAGGGTGGGATTTTCTTTTCTACTTCTGGCCAAGTAGATGTTACAGCTGAGATTTTCCAAAGTGCCCTTGCTGATTGCAGAATCAGAGTGGTTGGGGTTGCAAGGCACCGCTGGAGGTCATCTGGTCCAGCCCCCCTGCTCAAGCAGGGCCACCTACAGCCAGTTGCCCAGGGCCATGCCCAGATGATTTTTAGGTATAGTCTAGGATGGAGACTCCACAACCTTCCTAGGCAACATGTGCCAGTCCTCGGTCCCCCTCACAATAAGTGTTTCCTGATGTTCAGAGCTCCTGTGTTTCAGTTTGTGCCCACTGACTCTAGCCTTGTCACTGGGCACCACTGAAAAGACCCTGGCTCCGTCCGCTTTGCATCATCCCTTCAGACATTTGGTCCATGATCCCAATGTTCCATGCTGGTAACATGACGATAACATGGTCCTCTTATATCTTGGCACAATAATGCTCTGAAGGACAGATAACAATGCATATTAAATGCCTTTCTGGTGTGCTTTTCAATGAAAGCTATTGCTTAGAAATGGCCCAAGAAAACAATTCAAGGGAAAACAGTCCACGTGACCACGAAGAGGAATGGAGGCAGCAATCATCATGAGCTTTGCACTAAGAAAATAGGTGCATGATTTTTTCAGAAAGCAGTGATGCTCTATCCCAGATTGCTTCAGAAGGTGAAATATTTCAGGAAAATAAAATTAATGACACGCTAACTGAATAAATAAATAATATAGCTCCTTCAGCTAAATGAGCATTCACAGATTATTTGTACTGGTTCAGCTATGAGGATGCCTCAGTGTGAAGCCTATTTTGCTTGAATGGGGGGGTGCATGAGACAGGAGAAAAAATGGTTCAAAATCAACCACAATCCTGGTATCTTCTAAAGCATTATTAGAAAACGATGACAGTGCTAATTGTGGCAAAGCTCGTACCTCCTGGCTCCTGACAAAATTAGTTTTTAATTTCCTTAATTAGTTTTAACAGAGCGAAGACCTGCGTGGATCAAGGAAAACAAAAAAAAAGAAAAAAGGAAAATGTTTTTAAAGAGGAAACTCTGAAGGAAGGGAGCTCTTCAAGGAGGTCCGCTGATAAAACAGAAATGCTTAAGGAACCAAACAGCCGAGGTCTCTCTCTCATACGAGTTAGCAGGGGATTTGGCAGGACAGTTCTAGTGCGTGAGGGCGCAAGAGTGAGCACGGATGTGTTTTTGAGGGGAGGGGGAATATTCAGCATCACTGCAGCCTTTGAGTGGCTCCAACTGCCTCTGCAACACACCCTTAATAACAGTGAGGTGGTTTTGCTCAGTTTTAAATACTACTATTCATAGTAGTCGATGCATACAGATGCATCGACAGTCTACAGGATCAGTCTTCTAGTTGAGATTTTTTTTCCAAAATAAAGCTGCATCCCAGTTCCCAAGTATTTGTCCTCATACATTCACAGGTAAAGAACTTCTGTAACAAACATGAAGTTTTTCTGGCACACATTTGCAAAACTGTTTCAGAATGCCAAACTTGACCACTGTGTGGCCAGACGCTGAGATTTTGCTTCAACCCCAGGATTTATTAAGACTTGCATGAAAATATTCCATCTTAACATAGTACACCTTGGTAGCATTTGAATACATATTTACAGATTTATTTGAACTTTTCTGAACTGCAATTCTACAACTGAGCAACATACCCATAAGTGTTTCATAAACTTTCAAACACTTACATATTTATACATATAGTTTTTGCATATATATATATAAAAAAATATTTTTGAGACTCAAGGACTGAGGATAGTCAAAAGGACATTATTGCTACATTTCCATATTTACAAAAACAATGCATAAACCCATTCAAAACACCAAGCCATTGCAAAATAAGTTTCAAAAATCCCCAAATTATAAAAATATAAATTTCAAAAATGAAAAAACCCAAACCTCTTTCAGCTAAGTGTCCGTAAAGTACCGAGACATCTATAATTATAACAACTAATTTGTCTACAGTTGCTCTGAAAGCCAACACGTTACAAAAGAGCTTTTATAGCATTAAACTGAAAATGCTCAACGACAAATATGCGTAAGAGTGCCCCCAAACAACTGGCTAACTTTGGAAAGGTGCAACAGCCTAAGAAAGTTCAGTGCAAATGGCTGATTTGTAACTCTGAAAGACAGATTCCTGTAACTATAAACCAAATGCACAGCCATAGGAGGAGTGTGGTATTCAACATAACCCAAAATATACTACCAGTGTATTTACAATTACCTTGCATTTGGGCAGTTAGTTACACATGGAAATCGCATGTAAACTCAACCAAAATCCTGGTAAAGTATAAGTTACCGAGTGCTTAAGTGCATTGTAAATAAATAGGTACTTAATTAGTACTCTGCCTCTGATGAATGCTTCTCTCAATGCCTTTACTGATTTCTAGGGGACAGAAACATAGGAAGAAAAGAACTAGCAGTGTTTCTGATGGGAAGAAAAGGGGTTAGAAGATACTTAAACACAACCCTGGGCTCAACAGATCCTGACCCCAAAGCCTCACATCTGTCCAACAAGACTAAAGGGATTCTTTCTTTTATCCCATTTATAAATTCAGCGCTTCCCAGTTAGGCTTTTCTTTGTTATGATCTCTGGACCACTACAGAAAGATGAAACGCCTCAGGGTGGGGGAAAATAGCCCTTCCCAGTTAGTACTATCCAAGCCTGCCTGTGGGAAAGATTCACCTGGGTAGGACAAGATAAAGAAAGGGCCCCCAGGACAGAATTTTTTGCTTCTGCTCTCGCTTAGATAAGACGACTCGTTAAACGGCCTCTCTTCCCGACACACAGTTTACTGGAAGCAGCCCTCCTCCTCTATTTTGACCAACTTGGCAGGGCCCACCTATCTCTGGTGAACACTTTTGAACATAACCATTAGCAAAACAAGCACCGAAGCCCTGGGGCTCCCAAGGCAGGGGGGTGCTGGAGCGTTTTGGGCTCCATGGTGGGGTGAGACCCAGCAATGGGCAGCTCCCTCCCCAGTGGGGAATGGGCCAGTGGGAAGGAGCACATATACCCACAGAAACCTTGTGACCGGTCTGCAAGGCTTGACAGCACAGGTTGGAATTAAAGAGGAAGATCCGCGCTCTTCTCACCTCCTCTGGTTCAAACCCCAGAGTTCCCGGGAGGGTTTGCTGCTGCGCAGACCAACTCTGGAAGGGTCTCATTCCCTTCACCTCTCTTGCCCAGGTACATACAGCACCCTTGCTGGCCTCCAACCTACAATACCTGCCTGGGAAAGCTTCTCAGGCTTGGCTGGACGTGGAAAGGGGTCTGCAAAGCCATTAGCTTCATATTCATTTATTTCTTAAATTCAGCAAAACAAGATTAATTAGAAAATGACTGTATGCCTTCCAGGCACGGATCCAGAGAAATATCACTGCAGATTTGGTTTTATCTGCAGTCATCTCATTCCACACCCTGGTTCAGGATTTCTTTTGTTGGGTGTTGTTTTGTTTTTTTTTTTTCTTCAGATCTGGCTCTCTACTGCAAATACACACAACACAGCAAAATATATACAGCTTCAGTTAACATTGCAATGATGCCTGTAACCGTGCTCAGCAGACTATGTGTAACAGTGTGTGGTAAAGGACAGTATTACAACAACGTTTCAGCTACACAGTGGTAGTAGTGAGTAAAAGTAAGAGAAATTATTGAAGTTGTCCCTCTCTCACCCCCTGCACAATACAAAACAGCTAATACACCTGGGCTCCTCTTCTTACAGATGCCACTCAAACATCTTCGCGTACCAGGAGAGGCTGAGTAGATGAAGCACTGCTACCCACCGAGTTAATCCTCACCGAGTGATCGGGAGCGTTTCCTTGACTGGAAGGAGGAGTTGAGAAGTTCGCATAAACCTGCAGAAGCCAAAAACTGGTGTCAATACTCTGTGGACCGCTCCCTTCATGCACACTTGGAGAGCTCTCCTTTCCTAGCCTTTTCCCACTGCGCACCACACACAGCTGTGGAAGGGTTCCAGCTCAGGTATTTCTCTGCAATTCTAAAGAGAGTTTCAAAAGGTCTTGGGTTTAACTGCTATTGTAAAGTTATTAACAGTTATTAACAACACCGCAGCTTCCAACTGCCTGCCAAATTTCAACTGAGCTTGAAAAAACGCAGCTCAGGTTCTCACTAAACTCCCCCAGAAACCTCACTAATACTTCCTTTGCATTCTTGCTTTTGTTTTAGCAATGCCTGCACCTGCCAAAAATACGCCACAGGATGCAATTGAACACCAGCAGCTTTCAGTTTCCTTGTTTCTCAAATTGTCAGGAAGCCACGTATGCTCTGCCCAAACAAGGCATCCAGAACGTAAAAGAAAGCTGTATTTTGAAACCAGGTTTTAAATTTACTTTTTAAAGCCCAGTAACAGACAGTGTTATTGTGAGAGAAAAATCAAAGTTTCTGATGTGTCTCCAATTTTTCTTTGGATTGTTTTGTACAGTTACCATCTCAGAAAAAACCTTTACTAGGGAATAGTCAAAAGAGCTGTGAATACAGTTTGTCATGACATACCTCCAAGGTTATATAAACAGAACTAGGGGAAGCAAATAAGAGGCAGAAGAGCACCAAAAGCTCAACCCCTTCATCCAGAAAGCTTTTCTAATAAAAGCTAAATATACTTTGTTTCTGAGACGTTTCCCAGATTAATAAACTTTTTCATAGGTAAGAGAATTTATGATGTGGTACCATTACATTTTGTAACATCAGAATTGTTGTGCCAGGTCTATTTTGAGTGACAAAGATCAACAACACAAAGAGTCTTCTCCAGCTGGTACGTCTTGGGTATGGGCTTAGACAGCTACTGTTTAATGGCACAACTAGGCAGAAATGAGTAGCCCAGACATCACTCCTACCCTCCCAAACTGACAGTGTAAAGCTATATAATACTGGAAAATTAACGAAGTGCTCTGGCTCTTTGCTCCTCACACCTCCAGTCTAACGTCTTGCTTGGAACTGCTTTGACTCAAAAAAAAAAAAGGATGATCCATAACTTACCCGGGGGGCATTATCTGAAAGCTGCTGCTCTATCAGCTGTACAATTTGTTTAAATGTGGGTCTCTGCAAAGGATCAGCATCCCAGCAACTCTTCATTATGTCATACCTGCAAAGATACTGAGATTAGGTACCACTCAAGCTCTTACCTCACATCCATTATTATTTGAAAGAAAAGCGGGACCCAGTCCCACAGTTTACCTTCTTTAAATGCCTTTTAAGAATATAAGTAGTGCTGCTAATACCTGTGCTTGTGACAACAAAGGACTCGATACTAATGGGAGTCTCTGGACGTGGGTTTTATCTTACAGCTTGCTAAGTGCCAATCCATTTACAAAAGAGTGAATTAGGGATGGCTCATAAAGAAGATCAGTACCCACTCCTCTTGCTGTCAGGAAGTACAGCACAAATGCAGATGCTGTACAGTCTGGTGATGCATCTCACTGACTGCTTTATCTGAATTAAAAATGTTTAATTACGTTCTGTGATGTGTCAATAATTCATTGACACGAGCAGATGCCATGACAAAGTGATCAGATGGTACGAGGCATGAGTGTATTTCATTTTTTGTAGCAACACAGGCATGTATTCTGGTTGTTAGAGCACATGAATTGTTTATAACGTGAAAAGAACTTAAAAAAAGACAATGGGGCAGTGCAATGAGCCTAAATGCAAGAATGGAAGCTTCCCTTCCTTTGAATCACTGCTGATGTTGATGATTAGAGGTGCTGGTTGGTCGCTTACATTTCAGGCGGTGCACACTCAGGGCTGAACATCCTGTATCCCTCCTTGATCATTTTATAGAACTTGGAGTCCACGGGCATCCCTGGATATGGGCTGCTTCCTGTTGAGAGAGCATGTGAGCAACATGATTTCTGCACCTGCAGTAAACCCAAGGTGAAACAGAAATCCCCTGAGGTACAGATCTTGAAGGAGCTTACCTAAAGAAAAGAGCTCCCAGAGCAATATCCCGTAAGACCAGACATCACTCTCAAAGGTGTAGACGCAATTGAAAATACTTTCAGGTGCCATCCACTTCACAGGAAGACGAGCCTGTCCAGGAAAAAAGGAATAAATTAAAGCAATGGACATAGGGCATATAAAATTTACAAGACAAAATTAACCTTTTCTACTTCTTATGTGCTTTAAATACTCGTTAAATCAAGAGACAGAAGTATCCAACCAAAAATGGAAATCTCAGCACTTGAGAGTCTCCAAATGCTGCATGGTTAATTGATTCACTGTTATATGATCTATCTTTCTGTGGATCTATCAAACTCATGCACCTCCTTGCGCTCTCATTTTCTGTATATCACTGTAATCACTGTGTGATTCCTTCTGTCTTGTTTATAAGGGATGGCGGGAAGTCAGAGCAAAATAATACATTTGACCATGGCACGGTTCCTTATGCAAATACGCCAGTCTGCTTCCATGGACTGGCTACCATAGGCACACAGATGAGATTCAGACAGTCAGGATGCTTCAAGGCTTTAATCAACAGTTAAGACATCTGCTTTAGCTCCTCAGTGTATCAGGAAAAAAAAAAAAAAAAGAAAATTCACATGACATAAATATATATTGGCACTTTTCATAAGTTTGTGGGAACAGGCATCCCTCGGGAATGCTAACTGAAGCAGAGGAAAGGGCACAGAAAGCCTTTGGATTTGCTTCCACCTTCCTCTCCCTGCTTGACCCTTTCCTTGTCTGACTCTAGCAGCCAGCCAGGCTTCCGTCCTAAACACTTGTCCTGCTATGGGAGAGACCAGACCTCTTCCTTTTAAATGGCCTTGCAGCTATGTGTCCAAAGACCTGTTTCAACCATACGATAAAGAAGAGCCTTGATGTCTTGTAAGGGAAGGAAACCCAACAGAAAAGGGGGTTCATGGAAAGGAAAAGGAACGAGGTGGAGGAAAGGGAGCATTTGCCATGGGCTGGCTCACCAGAGAGGCAACCAGAGCTGTTTATTTCCTGAATAACAAAGGCGGCAAACTTCCCAGCCAAGCCCCCAGCCGCTGTCAGCAGCACTCCCCCCAGCAGTGTCCGTGGGTAGCGATGCCCCCGTGCTCCTGATCTGCTATAAGATCACGCCAGACGCCTCCCACAGCCACTGCTTCCTCTCTCCCCAGGCAGCTGCAGCCTGTCCTCCTCTGACCCTTTCAGGCTACATAAAATCCTATTGCCAGGGAACTCGGGAAACTTAAAGGGAAGCCTAGACAGGTAGAACTTCGTTACTTACTGCCCACTTCACTCCTAAGCTGCTGCTCGGCACTTCTCACTCCCAGGAGCCTTGACTGATCCAGCAGCTCCTGACCTGACCCTGCACCTGAAAGCAGCTTTCTCACACCAAATGCCACCCAGCATTTTGCCAGAGCAGCCACTCCCAAATTATTTCTGCTCCTGTCGTTCCCTAAACTCACCAACACTGGTTTTGAAGACAACCAATAAACCTTTTTCTTCCACACCTAAAATAGGGATGCTGTAGGTAACCTGGGACATGAGGGACTGCTGGGTGACAGCAAAGCAGCAGAGCTATCTCAGACACCTGAGGTGCCGTGGACTGTCGAAGGTTAACCAAGTCTGGCAAACCACTTCGGTGAGAGAGGCTGAGTTTTGGGATTTGGAACTAGGTGATCTTTAAGGTCCCTTCCAACCCAAACCACTCTGTGATTCCATGATTTTTCTCTCTTCATCAACTTGCCCAAAGCCTGGATGGGCAACCTTTGGTTTGTGCGTTGCCAAGTCCCTAACTAACAACCGGCCTCTGACCACGGAGCGCTCAGCAGGGCTGGGGAGGAGGGCTGCCTTGTTGAATGTTGATCTTCTCTCCTTGGAAAAGCAGTGCAAGCAAAAACACGTGTTCTCTGAAGGCAGCGGACGGCTGCCTGTATCTGGTGCAGCCTTACAGCATTAATCCAGGCAGCGCAAATCACTGAGGTGTAAAATGCCTATACTCTGCAGCACGCTTCTCCAGTTTAACCACTGACAGACTCGGTTTTCTTTTGTAGTAGGGCTGCTTTCACTGTACTAGCACTTTAAAGGGGACTTCAAGTACTCCCAGGGTAACCTGCGTCACTTCAAAATGTCTTTGTACACCTGCAGAGGTCTAGTACGTGCTGGTGTAATCCGTACTCTTCTACACAGGAGGTGTAAAACTTTTCTCTCCGTACTCTTCTACACAGGAGGTGTTAAACTTTTCATATTATCAAAATATGGTTTGTTCCAACCCTGTTACAGGGTGTGAATTACAGCTACGAGTTAAAGCTGTATGTCACACGAACAATGGTAAAATATGTATATGCACAGATAAAACAAAGGCTTTTTTCCCCTCCCACTATGTTCTAATCAATAAATTCACACTTCATAATCCAGTTTCTGTTGACTGAGTGATGCTTTATAGCGGAGAACAGGATGCAAACCCTTGATTATTTAAATATTTTAAAAATAAACTATTTTAGTAATGGACAAATATACCAATACCCAAAGAAAAAGTTTCAGAATAATTATATTTAGGATTGGTCTACCAGAATACTCCAACGGCAAAACTTGCAATTACTCACAGAGCTGTAACTTTTAGTACATTCAGATATAACAGCAAGACTGGGAGTTGTAGTGGTGCAGCAAAAACATCTCTTCCACTACAACATACATTCAGATACCAGCGTGTTTTCTCCACTATAACAACATGTCTATACCAGGGGTTTTGTTAGCACACACATCTACATCAGGAATTGCCCCTCCAAACATTCCTGACCAGCACAGATACATAAAAGAACGGGGAAATCTAGATTTCTGCCCAAGAAAGACTCTTCTTGGCAAATCAAGACAACAGGAAATCCCCTAACTTAAAACAGGTGGATAAAGTATCATATATACTTACATTTCCTTTCACCACATAATTTGAGTCGTTCCTTATATCTCTTGCCAGGCCAAAGTCACAGATTTTTGTTATCCGACCATGAGTTAGAAGAATATTTCTTGCGGCTAGATCCCTATGAATGCACTAAACAACAAACAGACAAGCAAAGAAAGCTATTTTATAATATCCTTAAGAGGCTGTTGCTTGGTTACATGTATACTTAGCTATATAACTTACTGCATTATGCATTTTATGGCAAGCTGAAAGTCATAATGAAGCCATGTGTTAATAAGCTTACTCAGATGATTAAACATCCTGGTGTATGTAGTATCTTTATTATCATGACATTGATCCACATAGTTAAGGCTGTCTCTGCACTTATTTTAGAAAAGTCCCCTTGCAGTCACTTTGAATTTTCTATTGTTTCACGTTCGCAGCCAACATTTAATGTACTTTTTATCTGACTTTTTATCAAAAAATCACTGGTCTGTTTCCTAATGCAGGCCAAATAAGGAAAAATGTATCCCATTTCAAAAATACTCCTCTGGAAGGCCTGAATTATTAAGTACATTGGAGAGTTTTATAAGCAGACCTAAATATTTGAAAATACTGGAAATTTTCACATGCCAGTGTCTTTCAATGAACAGTCACATGTTCAATGACCTAGCTAACTTATACTCCAGTTACCACTTGAGAAGTGTTTAGAAGTGCAGCTCCAGCCTGAGTTTTCCAGCAGTCTTGTTTTATTTTTATGCAACCCTGGAGGCCCCATGTGCATTTGTTAGAGAATGGAAGCAGTTCTCTGACAAAATGACCCCTTTTTGCATCTGGAAAGGACAGCGTTAGGTTCCACCTTACTGATGTTATACTGTATGCAGGCCACAGCTGTCTGAAAAACAGCTGAAGATTCAATTTTTCTCTTTTTTTTTTTCCTTGAAATACAAAACTTTAGGGGAAACCCTACCAAAAAATGACTTAAAAGATCAAGAATTATGCAAATCCAACTCCGAAAACGGTAACTGCAGGTTGCATAAGCAACTTAATCTCTGTCCCTTTTGCATGTTTACATGAGCAACCGTTTTTAATGACAATTACTGTCTCTGGAGACCCTTATTCACCTCCCAGTCTAGCACATTCTTCACTTTGGTTATGTAAAGCTGAGAGCATAACTGCACTGAAGCAGCAGAGTGAAGAAATGGCCAAGCATCCAGCATGTTTCTGCCTTGTTCTTCCAGAATCAGTGCAGTTTGCACTGAATAAAGACCTTGTCCATTGGAGGAAGCCCTGTCTTGTTATTCAGGCACCCTGTGCTAATAAGGGAATTATCCCCCCAGGACAGGCTGCTATCCGGACTCCTGCACAGTGGCACTTTTATGCCTCTGAGCCTTGATCCACGAGCAAGTGGCAGAAGCGCAGCTGGGTACTCTGTGCTGCTGGTCTGCGTGGACCCTCCTTCCCCCAGGGCATGAGACAATCTGGAGCATCTTATCCATCAGCCCCCACTACTCTGCGTTTACTAGCTAAAGCTAAGAGCGCTTATGGACAGAATGACCAAAGAGGACCAAGCACAGCAATGTGTTAGCGCAGTGCAACTTAATTCTGTGATAAAGCCATTAATTCTGCACTGCCAACGCGATACTGCACGTTCCTTCCTGGCCTCACGGCGAGGGGGTGTTACACTCATTTATTGTCTTTGCTACTCAATGCCACGCTGTCCGTTCGCGTTAATGGAAAGACTTTAAACAGTCACCAGGGATGACGCAGAGTGAATCCTGGGGCTGTTCTATAGGAAAATAAGAGGAAATAAAGAATATATGTGCAAAGCACTGGATGTCCCGAACAGGATGCAAGAGTCTGGTGAAAACCATTAAAATCTGTAATATAATGTGCTTGCCTGTCAGGCTCATTTTGAAGCTAATAGAGGGAAAAATAAACTGGAGGGTTTGGAAGAAGGAACAGTGAGGGAAAACAACAAATGCAAGAGCAAATATTAATGTGAACTTCCTTTGGAGCAGAATTAGAGCCACATTTTCCACTACTAACATGGGATTCCAGGATTACTTTATTTTCCTTAAATTGCATAATTTTGGGGTTGCGCTTTACCCAAGATGCTCCTGTACCATCCTGTGTCTATATTAGTTATAATGTTTACATGTTAAATGGCATTTTTCCAATAAAACTTAAGAACAACCATAGGGAACATAATTACCTTGTGCTTAAGATTTCTGTTCTGTATAAAACCCTTTCAGTTATGCAATACCTCTCCTACGAAATCCAGAGGAATCTCTATTACGCTCAGAGTAGCCAGCAAGTATAATATGTGGGTCTCTAGGCTGATTTTGTCTTTTTAGAAAATTAAAAACCAAGACATCTCCTGTACATTAAGCTATAATGATAAAAAAAGGCACACAATGTGATAGCTCCCCTGTCTAAGGCAATATCCTGGGTGAGAGATGCAGCAAGTGCAGCATTGTTTAAAACTCATGCAAATAGACAGCTTTTCAGCTGTCTTCAGTCTGTTCTTTAGTTTGTAAACTCTCCAGCAGTGCCACAGAGAATCTTAATTAAACTCTCCAGATTTAATTGTATTTGAAGGTATCCACATGTTATGTTTCTGGTTCTTTCATCAATTCCATTTAATTCCCATACGCCAGAGAAGTCTGAAGAAATAACTCCTCAGGGTTCCTGTGGGTTTCAGTGCCTTCAAAGCCATCAGGAGCTCTCATAAAACTACCTGGGTGCTCAAGGAAGGGCTGAAGATCAAACTCCTAAGAGGCATCACCCAAACTAGGCAGGGTTCAGCCATGATTGCCATCTTCCAACACGTCATTATTAATCAATGGAGCCTCGGGGTGTAGCAAACATACTTCACCGCAATTCCTCTCCTCTGTCTCTTCTCTTGACATTTCTATGACTGATTTCTGTTCATGAGCAAGGCCACTGATTCTGCTAGCCTGAACTGTGAATGTGCAACAGCACTACTTCACGTTGACTACCGCGCACTCTACGTTCTGTTTTATGGGATATAAACCACCACTGTTGGCCAATGAGCACAGTACAGAACTCCAACATTAGCCAAAGCTTCAGGTTTGAGAAGCAGAATACCAGTTTGCAGCACTTGTGGAAAAGAACAGAGAAGTATTCAGCATTTAAACATGTGGATCACATTAAAAAGCTGAAGGTGATGCTAAAGGGAATCAGAAATCTGCAGATTCTTTCCAGCTCTGAAAAATTCTTAACTTACATTTTTGGAGGCAAGAAAGCTCATGCCCTTTGCCACCTGGTAAGAAAAGCTTAGGAGGTCTTCAACATCTAGAGCAAGTTCATCATCTTCCAACATAGAAAGGGTAACATCCTGATCAGTGTAGGATCCTACGCAATATAAACAACAACAATTCTCAGTGGAGCAAGTGTAATCATTTAAACAGAGCTGTCTTAATGTTAAACAAAACGGTGATCTGAATAAGTACCAACTAGAGTCACATCGTAAACAGCCCATCACCAAAAAAGCTAAAAATAATCCTGATAATCCATTCAGGTGTGGAGAAACACAAGGCACTGTAATTCCGCACACTGTTCTTTCCCAAGCTTTCTCACATCAATTAATGAGTTTTACTTGTCCCTATCCATGACAGAAATGTATGATAAAACTGAAAAAATCCATGAAGCCACTCTTTCTGCACTCCCACCAGCAAACAGATTTCTTTGTCACTGTACTCACCAGACTTCACTGGTCGTTTTTTATCAGCTTTTGGTGGAACTGCATATGACACCCCTGGTTTCATGTCCATGTACTCATTGGCAACATCACTGTAGAGGCAGGAGATGAAATGAAATATAGTTTAGTAAAAAAAAGGTCTCAAAAAGCCATCCAAACAAAAAGCCCAGGTTACGCCAACCTTCTGTATATAATGGTTTAGAAAGGATCAGTGGATCAGAAACCCATGGGTGTGTAAAAAAGATGAGGAAAGGCCTGTACAGAAGGAGAGGTTTGTCGGTCCAGCTAATGACACATCTCAAAGTTTGGAGTTTGGCTCAGGTGAGCAAACAAAACCTGCTTATACAGACTTCCCTCTCTATAAATTAACATCCAGATGTTTCACAGAATCTGCTAGTGCTTCCTTCTGCTTAAGCCAGCTTCTACCAGAATATTTCAGCAACTCAAGCGGCAATTGAAATGCAGAAGACAAATGGTAAAAAATGTTAATTTCAGAGATTCCCAAGCTCTAAAGGGGATTCGTATGTATTTCGAAGAATCAGCCGAGGCTTGGGACAGCCATCTGCTACTTTTTTAAAGTTTTTTTCTTACTGCTATATATAATTCAAATGTACAGATTTTCGTAGTATATGGTTTATAAATATACAGTTGGGCACCTTTAGAAATGACGGATGTACTTTGGCATTTTTCACTCCATTGCCATTAGAACTCATATATATAGCCCTTCCTTAGCCTGAAATGTTTAGTTCACAAACAATAAATGCAGCCACAGAGCTAACATGGAAAGGAGCAATGAGAGCACCAATAGGTTTAGTCACCACCACAAACACATCCGACACATTTAGCAGCTGCGAATTTACAGTAAACGCTAATATGAAAATTTCCTAAATACTCCGCTATTAATACCTCGACTTATAAAATGTGCTCAAGCAGTGAGATTCCTGCACTGAAAAGAGGGCACACCCCCATGGCAAATCAAAGATTTGTGTTCCTCGCCTCAGTACTCCCAACCTTTCTGGGGCACCACCAGCTTATCCATATATTTGCCATGGCACAAACAGCCTCACCAGCAGTATGTCTTGCTGGGACAAAGGAATTTACCACCTCCTAAGTGTCTCTGCCTGGTTCTTTTGTGTCTGCCAACACAAAGTAATGGGTCCCCTGGGGCAATAAACAGACTAAAAATAAAAATGAGCAGGTATTGTAACAGCCCCTAGTTTTGGTAAGTTATGTCTCCCTCACTTTGAAAAAGGAAGAAGAGAGCAGGAAATCTGCTTGGAAACGTACTTGGAAAGAGCTCTGGTCTTGTATCTAACACAGCGTGGTTAAAAATATACAGATGAAGTAACTGGAAAAAAAAAAAAACTGAGTACAAGAGCAACCTCAGAATCGTGACATGGGTCGTGCCTTCACAAAATCTAGCGAGCTGTTGGTGGCAGCTTGGCTCTGATACTACAACGCGCTGGTTTGATTTTGGAAGGAGCCATTCCTGAAGGCAGGAACTTAGGAGAGCTCAGAGTATTCACACCCCAACACTGGGGGGATTGTCATTCAAGCCGCTAAATGAGCGCTGCCAACGTTTAACAGGAACGATAAACACAAATACGTATGAAGATTGGAGCCAAGGAGTTGCATGAAGTAACTACAGGAAATTTGATAAAGAAGTAAAACGGAGTGTATACAATCAATTGGGCTCTGTTAGAGTAAACCACCCACTGTACAAATCGCGTCTTTAATTAAACCGTTTCCTTGCGCAGCAAAGAATCTTCAGAGCCTGCTGCATGCAACGTTTCTCCACATCTCTTATCCCTAATAAATTCTGCTGTCTTCTCCTTCCCAATCTTCTAAAAAACACAAGTACGTTTCAGCAGGTCACACTTACGCCGCAGGCTCTGCCTGATGCATAATGTTCTCGTAAACTGCTGTTTCTGCATGTTCTTCATGCTTTGGACAAATAAATGAGTCTCGTTTCCGTCTCAGAAAATTTAAAAGATCACCGTAGCAGCAATATTCAGTAATGACCAGAGTGGGACCTGCAGATGGGTGTGAGGTTTAGAAAGCAGGTGAGTATTGGTTTTAAAGCAGAAAACCTTACATAAAGATTCATTCTTACATTCAGCCAAGCACACAGGCCAGACTATTAAAAAATCACACTGCCTAGCACTGTCTAGACTTGAAAAGTTATAGAAAAGTAACCCAGCATCTTCCCTTTCACAGATCAGCAACTCTTGTCCAGCTAAAGCTGCGTCACTCCCAATTAATTTTCCACCCTCAATAGCATTGCATTGTACAAAAATTAAACAAATAAGTCTTTTTCTCTTTCTTCATGTGATAATGTTTCTGGCCAGACACATCTGTTTGATTCTGCTCACTTCCTGAAGGAAGTTATTTGTTCCAAACGTTAGAGTAATTCAAGCTTCAAACATTAATCCTTTTGATTCACTTCTGTTTACAGTAGAGCTTCACACTCCTTCAGTAATGTTTTGGAAATGATGTAGGGTGTTATATTCTGCAGTATAATAGGAAAAATCATTCAAATAGAACAGCCTGCTGCGACAGAAAACTACATTGCACAAGGTCTTAGAATATTAAAATGAAATCAGAAAGGAGAATCAAGTCATCTCCAGCGCGGATGTTTATAGATCAAATACACGTTTTCTGAGTGAATGACTCCAGCTATGGCCCTTGAATATGTAATTGCGCTGCGTGTTATTTCATCTGTAAGGTTACTCTGTACCATCATTTCCTAACCTCAATAGTTTATTTCCATTTTTCTGCAGTTAAAAATTACAGTTTTCGTAGTAGCAAAAGTGAGATCTGTGACGGGAATTTCTTAGAGATGCCAGATATTTTCAGCTGAGACAGACACACACACACAGGCCAGTGACTCTACTTTGTCGACTGCTTAAACAAAATTGCTTCATCCTATTTTTAAATCATTAAACGAGAAAGTGAGAAACATACTGCCTCCATCTATGAATTTTTACAAGCGCCTTTTCTTTGAAAAGTGAAGCAAAAACTTAAAGAGCAAGTACTTGTGTAAGAAGCAATACCATCTTTCAGATTAAAATGCAAATAAATTAAAAATAAAGGACTGTATCACCCACTATTGACACTTCAGCTCTTCTGTAGCTTTGACTTCGTATGAAAACAAACTTATTACGTTGATGTTAAATGTGAAACATTTGGGTTGTGCAATAGTTTATTTGGAAAATTCTGTTTCTCAACTTTCGGCTGTGGTACTGCTGTTGTTCTGCTGTTGAAGCATTTGTAACTTCTGTGGTGCCTTAACAGATACATTTACAGTTTAAACAGAAGGCTGGAAGACTATACAAGACAGACCTGTTGACTTCACCTTGGATACCAACAAGGAACCAGTTCACATATCTTTTCTCATTCGTGAGAAACAGTGTGGTGGAGGAAAAAAGTTATGCCACATATTTTGTCATTTCTCAAGAAAGCGCACAATGGCTCACATGAAACAGAGTAACAGCAACCTTCCTTTTTAGCTGCAGCGGTCTCATTATTGCTTTCAGGATGACCCTAAAAATCTAGATTCAGGAATTCGCAGGTGATAATCATGACGATCTGCAACCTGCCTAAGCAAGAAAGGTATTTAAGATTTCTATACTCAGCGGCACCGGATTCCTCTTCACAAGATTCCTCCTTCCGGCAATAAAAAAGGAACAGAAATAATCAATAATCTGTTGATAACCCCACCTCCAATAGTGCAAGCTCCAAGCAGATTCACAATATTAATGTGGTTTCCAAGGTAACTCAGCACTTTAAGCTCTGACATCAAGGCTTCTCTTTCTGTTAAATGGGCACTTGCTGCAAGGCAAAGCACAGTGTTCAGCACGTAACACACCAACCAGAAGGATGAGAGGCAAAATTGTACGGTGCATTACACCAACTTACGTTTCAACATCTTTACTGCTACTGTCATAGCAGCATCAGATTTAAACAGACCATAAGCAGTGGCTTCAACAACTTTTCCAAAAGCTCCAGCACCAAGGGTTTTACCTAATAAAGCAAAACAACATCCTCTGTAACGACATGGAGCACTTCTTCCTAAAGGTTCCACATTTTATTCTATGACATTAAGGAAGCTATGGTAGATACGCCTGCTTGCTTTTTGTCCCAAGGTACGTATGAGCAATTATCACTATTTGCATTATAGCACAACATCTTTTTGACAAAACCCTGCTCTGTTTAACCAAAGTCTCATATGAGACCTGAAGTTTTCACCTTGTAGATTAAGTTAAATAAATCTAAACTAACCAAAACTCAACCGGTTTCTAGGAAATTCCCATTTGTGATCATAAGGAAGTTGTGTCGGGTCTATGTAAACATAGTTGTTTCCATTTATTTCTTCAACAACTTTCCACTGAACTTCGTATTTGGGTTTCTGGAAAAGAAGGAGAATGTTTGTCACCACTGAAGCCTGCACAGGCAGCTCACACACTTTTCTAACTCAGGCAGAACGTTTTCTGATATTACCTGCAGATATATGTACAACAGGATCATGACTATGATGCACATCAGTCCTGCAGCAACTCCAAATGCAATTAGTAAAGGGGTGAAAAGGGTATGGGTACGGATTTGTTCTGGAAAGAAACAAAGAAAAACTCTGCTTAAATACCAAACACAGAAAATTCTGTTAAAAAGATGCAGGTGAAAAACCTTTCCTTGATTCTTCCTTGTGAAACAGGGTTTGGAGTTTTGATTTTCCCGGATAAGCTCCAAGTACACCAGAATGGCTTTCCTGAATGAGCTGTGGGGCACAGAAACCATCCAGTTTGTTGCTTCAGGAGTCTCAGCTTCATCAGCTCAGGAGGTGTGACACCAAGATCAATTCATACAAGGGGTTTGCACGATTTCAGTCCTGTCAGGTTAAAGAAAGCTTTTTTCTGAAGTCTTCCTCTTCCCTACCCCCTCCCCAAGTACGATCTCTAGAGCAGAGCCTTTACAAACAGAGGTTGTGCTGAGTTGCGCAGGAATATCATTGCAGTAAAACCCATCTGCCCCAAATCTACCTTATTTGTTTATATGGTAAAAACTGTGTGTGACAGAGAAAAAAAGCAGCAGCAGAACATTTGATTTTGCAAAGAGCACAGATTTACAAACACATTTCAAGTCATCTATGTTCTAGTGCTTTTTTTTTTCTCCCACAAACCCACAAATACCGCTCTAAAACGCATAAGCCCTTTTGCAGTACGTTGTTGTTACTTCTTTTACAACAGCGGGTCCTTTTGGCTCCAGTGAAGTTCAGGACCTCATCTTCCTGAGACATTGTAAAAACATTTTTAAAATGCTGGTTTTCCTTGGAAAAAAATAAATGGCCTAAATAGTCAAAACAGACAAAGATAGGAAAAGAAAAAAGGAGAGAGAGAAGGAAAGCCAGCGTAATGCTATAGATGGTTTGCCCCTGTGCTGCACAGACAGAAGAAAACCAGCTAACCAGTGCGCTGCAGATCAAGTGCCATAAAAAGACAGTACCACAATATTCACTGAAAAATTAAAATGCTTTGACAGGCAGAACACGTAGCGTAATACGTTATCCCACGCTCAGCCACAGTACCGTAAACTTTCTTACGGCAAAGGTAAACCACTTAAAGTCCTCTTACAGAAAGAGCCGAACAGCACCCACGTTTCATGGTCTCACTCACTCCGGCCGTTACCTTTAATAGCAAAGTTGAAGAAAGCAGAGCTCTTGTCCCCGTTGCTGGAGGCCTCGCAGCACACGGTGCCGGTGCTCCGGAACATGCTGGCGTTAATGGTGCTTTCCACCAGGATTCGTTCAAATGACGGCACCGAGGAGTTTGTGTAGCTGATTTTGACATCCATGGGGGATATTGTCGGTGAATCAAAACACCTGGGAGAAACAACACTGACAGTTACCTGCCACGGATTGCTACCTGGAATGGATGATGGGTCCTGCTGTTGAGGCAGACAGTTCCTGCCAGACCATCAGATAACTAAACAACGCTGCTCTACAAAGGGATTCAGCTGCAGATCCTATCCTCAAAACGCAGCCTCCTCACGATGTCTCATTGTCTTCTACACAGTGAGTGAAATGAAGACATACACCAAGCCTGACCCAAATGGACATCATGAGGTCTTTGCTTTTGGCTAGAGATACGTACGGGTCTGTAAGTCCACTATGGGTTTTGTACTGTTCAACCTGCCTCTCCAACTTCAGCCTCCAGCAGTTGTGGTCTATAACCTACTATTGAAAACTTTCTCCATGCATCATTTTATTACAGCACCAAAAAAAAAAAAAAAATCCATGATGTATATGTAACACCATCAAGCTTATATGCAGCCAGTTCTGCCCTCTCAAGGTGCTGCCTTTCCTTCATATGTCACATATTTACTACATGAGCACACAGTTAAGCTAAAAAAAAAAGAAAAAAATATTAAAAAAAAAAGGAAATAACAATTATTTCAGGCATAAAACAAATTATGCAGATGGGAGACCCATGACTTGCTAGTACGAGATGTACAACCACGATGGAAGTCAACCAGAACCTTAAAGCACGCTTCACAAATGCTCACTTCACAGTGAAACTCTGCAATCTCTTCAGAAACATGGTAACTAGACATCGGGTTTTTATTCATAATAACTCCAGACTTGTTTACTTGCCATATGCTTCATGTGAATAAAAATCTAATTACTACATGTCTTGAAAAATTATATCATTACATAATAAAACAAAAGATAACAGCCATATTCACAACTGATTCTGTGATTGTCATTCTGTGAAACTGCACACAGAATGTGTGTCATCTGGGGCCAAACTGATACCAACCTTAGGCAGCTTTCAGCGGAAAGTCTGGCTTTTACTTCTTTGCAGCAGAAAACATCAGTTATTCTCCTTTCAAGGAAGGAATGCAAAGCAGAACAATGAAACATACCCCTGCCTTCCCCTCAAACCACTCCAAGTAATCCAATGCCGAAAATGATTAAAACACTAATGCAACATTTGAATGTAACTGTTACCGAGTCATTTTATGTTCTTAATTTTTAATTATAAACTAGGTGTGTTGCATCTAGAGTAACCTTTGGAGACTCTGGTTTACTTAACTTACCTTTGCTCAGTTCCTGGGCAAAAATACCAGTATATGGTAGGGGCTGGAAATCCAGCTGCTACACACTGGAGAACACCATTGCTGAGTATATCCAGAGTGAGAATCTCCGGTTTTGCTGCAATAAACAAACACGAGGGTCACACATTAGGGGAACACAGAATCTGCATTGCCATTTGCTCTTCACCCCAGCAACTTGTGTGCATCGCTGTCCGTGAAATTGTCCGGAGCTGGTCCTACACTCGGTTCAGGAGCTGCTGATGCGAGTAAGGCAGGAAACCAGAGCCATCGGATGGACTGCACAGGAGTCATTAGCCCAACGCCTCAGCCTTCAGCCAAGGGCACCGCCAACACAGCTCTGGCAAATATTAGCAAGATCCTTTTCTTGGAGAAACTTGAATTAGAGGCCTTATTTCCCACAGCTACCTTAGCTTCCTTGAAAAATCACCCAAAAAAAGGTTAATGGAAAAAACCCCAGACTACATTGCAACGATGCTGCTCACCTGACAGGTACAAGGTAAGACTCCATTATCGGTTAATACACCTTTATGGAAAGGTGAGATGAACTCCTAATACTTCTGAAAGTTGTGAAATTGTATAGACTACAGTGGGAAAATGCCGATTTATTTCAGATGAAATCCATGTACAGAGACAGCACGGTGCTAGTTTTTAATGAATATTCTACTTACTGATTAAATGAGAGGCAATAAAGCACACGTATATTCTCAATCACGTATCATCTCCTCATGACTCATGTTACAGGAACCGAATGTTCTTTCCTTTCTGAACCCGCATGTTGTATTTTATGCAAACCACCAAGGACCAAACATTGATGCAAAATGTTGGGACGGATTTTCAGCATTACTCATTCGGTGAGGAACTTTCTGAGAGTGCACAGCATCTCGCTCACACCCAGCTCAGTGCTCATGGAATACACATACTCCACGTTTCCCAAAACTCCTATCAAAGTGGTTGGATTGTGAAATTGGAATTAACTAATCTACTATCCATGTGCAAGCAATTTGTTTAGGCATACGGTATGTTCTGGGCAAGATTACAATGCAATGTAATCCAAGAAATGAGAGAAATTAAAAGTTCAATATATGAGGAAAATGAACATTAAGCACCTAAAAAAACTCTTGTGCCAGATTTGGGCTGCATGTAGCACTTTCAGTGATGGAAACGAAAATGCCCACGTTAGTCAGGCTTTTTCCATTGCGTAAAAACCTACGCAATAAAAGCTTGTCCCACATCATCCCACAGCAGCCGGGGGGGAGACACGAGGCCACGCAGCGTTAAGACCCCCGGCAGCCTGGGGAGAGCTGTCCGGCCCTGGGCCACGGGAAGCTGAGCTGCAGCACAGCTGACCCAAGAGCAGCTCTACCCACTATGTCCCTGGTGAAGCCCTTTAATGTGGCGATTAGCGCGACCAGCCTCTCTCCACCAGCACAGAGTGCTTCCAAACCTCCCCAAATTCCCGGAGGAATTAAGGGATGCGTTTCACGTGCAGCAGCGGAGAGCCCCCCACAGCTCTGTACCAAGGGGACGGAGGCAGCTGCTACTGCCATCACCCCAGGCTGTGTGCCTCAACACCTGCACCCCCTTCTAGGAGCCGAAGCTTCTTCCTCATCCACCAGCATAGGTGCTCCAGGTGATGCTGGAGCAAAGATGGTCTCGCTTTGGCAAACAGATGCCAAGCTGCCACTGGGCATCTTCTTTAAAAGAGATTTTACTGTGCTAGATTTTATGACTTTCACTGCCTAATTACCCCTGGTATCAGACTGGCTCTTAATGACTAGACTGGGCTTATTGTTTTGGCTTTAACCCTTTGAATATTTGTTTCATTATAATGCTTGGCATATATGCATATTGCCTTCCATAATCAGTCCTTAGGTGTCCTAAACTTCTAATTTCACTAAGTTCATTAGCTGCTTTTCAGCTTTTATTAATGCCGATTCCGAACGTAGCGAAGAGGATTTATCCTATTTAATGGGAGGCCACGCCTACTTTATCTCCATGCTCTGTATAATAACATTGTGTATTTAATTGCTTTCTATTACTGATTTCCCTTTCCTCATCATTAACAAAGTACATGTCTAAAAAGTAACACTTAATAGGTATTGTCTGTCATCGCAGTCAAAGAGAGAGGGCTTTCCTCCTGGAGCCACATTTTCTGGATCAGAATGAATCTTTTACCCTATCACGATGACTCCTTGTTTGTTCACTGCATATTCCATTGAGAGATAACCACTGAAATCTATAATACTGTGACCAGTTTTCTCTTTGCAGCATGAGCCCCAACTGCACAGGTAATATTTTGTTGACTGTAATTAAGCTCAGATATTATTTCACACTAAACTCAGATACTAGTTGGAAGATTCCTCCACTAATTGCTAGATGTACTGCACCTTGCACTCTGGAGATTTCTACAATTTCTTAATTGTAACTCAGTTCAGTAGACTGCTTGTCAAATTGTAATTTTCTTTTTGGCTCCTAATTTCAGAGCTCCTTCCTTCCTTACTTTATGTCACATTTACTATGACTGACTACATTATTATTTTTTTTAAGCAATTTAGTATTGTTTCAGATTAGCATATGCAATTACTAAATGTGTTTAAATCCAAGGCAAGTATTTCTGCACAGGGTTTTTCACATCTTTCAGCAAATGCTTCAGCATCGGGTTTTGTTTATGTGCAGACATTCTCCTGATTATGAATCCTGTTTTACCTGTTTGATTACTTTCTGCTGATTACTTGCCCAAGCCAGACGTGTAAACATCATGCACTACATCCCAGAAATTTATGCAAAATCCCCGCTGACAACAATGCCAGGTCAGGAGGAACCATTAGATCAGGATCTGACCCACACATGGCTCACCTTCGGCAGTTACTCTGCTATGTCAAATCATAGGGTATGTTGTCGCGCCGCTTGCGTTTCACACCTAAATGATCAGCATTTTACAAGCCACTGAAAACAGGTTATTTTTCTTCAAAACAAACCTCTAGAAGGATCAGTCTATTTCACCTCCTCTTTTCCAAATGAAAAAAAACCTCCAAAAATACTTGCAGGAGCTTAGTCAAAGTGCCAAAAGAAGTTCTTTGAGTCAAGTGCGTCAAAGCCATCTGCTTCAGCAACGTCTGCAGTCCAGCCGGTGCTGCTCTGCGTGGACTCTGCTGAGGTGGCTTAAATGTCCTCACTGCATCCCAAGACTCCTCTTACTGCTTACAAGACCAGGAGATGAAGCAAGAGGGAAGAATGCTGCTGGTTGCACAGACAAGCATTCAGAAGAACTAAGCCGGCCGTGCTCCCTCCTGCCTTCGCCAGACTGCTTCTTACCCTGGTTTCCTAACCATGACCCACGAGGCTTTTCAGCTTTTATCAAGTAGCAGATTCCTCAAAGACAGTCACATGGAGCTCTGCACCGAGAACTGACACCCGAAGGTGACAGAACTGTAGGGTGTTTATTTTTTTTTTGTACAGTTCTCGTGCACAGACTGCTCCCAAGCAGCCTGCAGAACCTGGGAGAGCTGGGAGCTCCACACACAGCCCCTTGCTCGAAGCACACGTATAATGCTCTAAGTTGGAAAACACCATCCAGCCTCATGTGAACTCACAGCTCCATGTGCAACCTGCAATTTCTCCCATTCCTTCCCAGAAATTGAACTTCTGGCTCAACAAATTACTCTGCCCATCTGTAAAATACCAGAAATTGTCCCTCATGCCTGTAACCTACACTCATCCACAGTGGCACAGGACACGTGAGGTTGCCAGTGCCCCCAGCTCAGAAATCACAGCTAGGAAGTGGAAAAGTCACAGGAATATAAATGACAGCATTCACAGATGAAGGAAGAAATGCCATGCTCTGAAAGGAGCCCAAGTGACATTTCGAGACCCAAACTATGGCATTGCTAATAGTGACGCTACAAATGTTGACCTTCAGTGATAAATGAGAAGAAATCAGAAATTAATAACCAGGATCTTGTGATCTGTGGAAGTCCTCTGCATTAGCCTGTGCCCAGAGAACGACACGCTGCTGCTGAAGCACAGCAGCAACGCAGAACTGCATTTGAAGCACATGCACTCACTTTCTATACAGTTCCTCCTGCTGTGCTCAAAGGCATCGTTGTCTACCTCGCCTTAGTTTCTCTGGTCTGCCTGCAGTCCCCTCTGGGTTTAATTTTCCTTAAGCTTGGCCTGTAGCATCTGACAATATCTGTCTGCTGAAAGCATTCAATTCTCTAACAGGATGGCTCTCCTAAGCAGGACAGGCTTTCCTGAAGGTTTCATCAAATTCATATTGAAGTTTAGTTTTTGTCTTGAAGAACTCTGTTTGAAACTGAGACCGATGCTCTTTTATAACAAGCATGTCCCAAAGATGTTCAGCACAAGCATTTGTAAAGCTATGCAGATTTCTCTGAAACAATGGTGATCTGTATCATTATACCAAAGTATTTAGATGCCAGGAGGCACAAGTGAGTAACTCTCCTCACAACCTTTCAAACTCTGCATCAAACAAATTAAAGACAGTAGCTTAGCTTGGCTACCAAAAATGCAAATTATAATCCCTGTAGATCTTGCTCCACCTTAAATTATCAATAGTTTATGGTACTTGCTTATTTTTGAGACCATATTTGCAGGTGCTACAATTTTTCTCTTGGATTTGTGTAAGTACTCTGCACTTTTAAATCTTGACATTTAAATAGTTTTCCAGCATGCGTTTCACTTCAGAAAGCCTCTTATATGCTGACCCGCACTGTGACATCTTGTGCATACATTATTTTGTATAAAATACAATGACTGTGATAATGAAATATTTCAGACTGTTCACTTTACTTACTTTTCACATAGACATTAAATGTTACAGAGGAGCTGGCATCGGAATTGGACACAAAAAATGTGTAAATGCCTCCTTCTGTTCCTTTTAATCGGGTAAGGTGAAGTTCACTTGTATAACTGTAAAGAAAAAAATTAAGCATTACTGATGCTCACAACTTGCGTTGAACGGGCAATTGCTGCACGGAAGCTAAGAAGGTTTCCTCCTTCCAGAGCAGACTCCAGTTTGCTCTTCCAAAGTAAAATCAACAGCATTTAAAGTCTTTCGTATTACCTGTTATTGCTCACAGTCTTGAACTTGACATAATGGTCCGATGAATTCTGTAATGTTTCGTTCATATACATCCAGACTTCTTCCTTCGGTTTTGGATACGCCTCATATTCAACTGTTAGATTTCCATTTTGTCCCGCATTTATATCTATTGTGGTATTCATTGTCGCAAACAAACGGACAAATCCTTTAGCTGATGGCCATAAGGGGAGAAGAAAAACAATCTCAGGGCCATTTAGAAGACTGTCAGTACTCTAACCACACTTAGATTACTTCAAGATCAGTGATCAAACATCCAGCTGTGAAACAGGAAACCTTATCTACAAAGCAGAACTTGAACCCTCACTTGCCCAAACCAAGGCCACTCTCCCTATATAGCAATGAGGTATAGGACTTAAAGCAGACTTGAGTGTCTCAACAGAAATAATTCCATCTTCTGGTGATAAATACCCTCTCCTTGCTTTTGGAAAAACACAAGTGCATGTTTGATTCTACTCAAGTATTTACATTTTTCCAAAAATCAGAGTCGCTAACTCTATGGTATGAAAGAAACACTAATTAAAAGACAAGATAAATTGATCATTTATGACAATATACTAGAGTATTTAAGGTTTCTTTGTCAAGTGTAATTAAGAATGACATTACAAATGAAGCTATTAAAAGCTGTAATTAGAGAAAAATGCGCTAAGATCACAGGTCTGGATACCAATTGCCTTAAACTAAGGCATTTCAGTTCATCTGCTGCTGGGTCTTAATCTTTTATTTGGCAGACAGTATCCATCATTGTGCAGTTCAGTTCTAAAATATCACGTGGAGCAGCATCCTTACTGCAGTGGTCTTAATTTCATTAATAAACTCATCAGCCATAGGATTATTCACTTTGAAAAGACAAATCTTTCAGTCCTATTACACAAATTCATATAGGAATTATCTGTTTGACAGGCAGATTGCAATTGCAAGGAAACACATTTATTGAGAGCTTGAATTTAGACCAGAAGTCAGTCTCAGATCCCTGCTTCTTCCCACTTCCTAGTAATCAAACTGCTGTGGCCAGCTGGGCACCTGAGCTCGGGAAAACCGAAGCCAGCGGGGCTTGGTGAAAGCATATGGAGCTGCCAGAGCACTTGACAGATGCTTTGGAGAAGAAAGGATGAAGTAAACTCACAGCAGGCAGGTATGCTCTAAAATGCTGTCTGTCATTAGAAAAAAGAAGGAGGTTTTAAATCTGGAAACTGAAGATTTTCAGTTCCTTTGCAGAGGTTTTTTCTGTTTTCTGTATAAACGCAAGATCCCCTATGCAATCTACGTTCAAAATCGGACCCAAGAGCCTGCAAATAAAATTCCACGGTTATGCTATCAATCCCCAAAACAGTTCTAGAAACTGTTTTATGATTAGAAAAATCAACTGTTAAAAAAACAGTTCTAGAAACTGTTTCATGATTAGATAAATCAACTGTTAAAAAAAAAAGTAATTAGGAAATTTACCAAAAACACCCATTATTTATTGTAAACCTATTGGCTAACATTAAAGCCACAGCTATTTAGAAACTGATACAACCCCAGGATCTCTGCAGTACGTGCCATATGCCACTTCCCAGGACCCTGGGAGCTGGCACAGTTCAGATAAATATAGTCAGTTTGGCAATGAATGGTGAAAGGCATCCAGGAGAGACAGAGTTTTTTTAATTTTAAGTCAAATTTGAGAGGGTGGGGAGAGAAAAGTGTATCTCAAAAAGGAAAGACATCAGCTTTTCTCTGGTATTTTTTATTAAATACAAACTTTGCATTTTACTAAATACAAACTTGTTGCTTTTATTTTTTACTTTTTATAATGCTGTGTTTTATTTTGGTCCCCAGACCTTCCCTAGTCAATCCTTTTTAAAGCCACATTTGTGTACACAATAGACTTAAGAATTTCTGTGGCTAAGGACTTCCCTCCTCGTACAATAAAAGGTTTCACATTGTTCCTGTTGGGTAAAATATTTTCTTTCATACTTCATGCTGTTTCGCTCTTTTACATATGAATTTTTTCTCTCCTGTAAAAAAAAATTGGGACAACATCCCTGTCATTATGAGCCCCTCAAATGGCAGAGCAAGGTTGGGGCACTCAAACCTCTGCCACCCTGCGGAAAATCTGACCCGCATAGGCGAAATACTTCTGTTTTCTTTAAGTTACTGGGAAATGCAGAACAAGCAACGTTGGAGGAGTTTCTGTGCAATGGAAACACAGATTTGCAAAGGAAAAAGGATCCAAGACTACGCTTCCCGCAGTTACTACACCCCTGAATGTTAGGGAACCGAAACGGTTGTAGCTAACTACGCAGATTTCTTCAGAATTATCTTATTAAGTCTACCAACATGTCCTCAATTGTCCTTAATTTATCAAATTAGCAGGTTTCGGCAGCTTTAAAATTCACAAGGCACTGTGTGTCATCCCAGTTAATATAGAGCAGACTCTAAACGAGTCTGTTATTAAACAAGAGGAGGGAGGGAGTCCGCTCACTGTTCAGGGACACGATCCAGAAGTCATGGAAGTAATGGAGAGTGGATCCACCACTGGGGTGAACTCGGAACACTCTCACACTGTCTGCGCACGCCGCAGTGTTCCTCGCGGCGTTATTGTAAACAGAGGTACATACACGGCTTCGACATAACAAACACTGACACGCCGATGTCAGCGACATTCCCCGTGCTTGGAAGGCAGGTACTACAGATACGCTTTGTACTTGTGCTGCCAGGTTACTTAAGCATAGGGATAGTATCAGGGAAAGGTAAATTACTTGCTTCATTAAGACTGGATTAAATTTAAAATTAAATCAGGAAGAGACAAACCAGATAGATGGAAACACGGTTGGATGATGGTTCTAATATCACATTCCAATAACATGCAAAGGGTTATAGAAATTAAAGTAGTCATACACAGCACAACACTTCCTCAGCCATCCCATATGGCATCAGTCAGCAATAACCTTTCAATAAAGCAACTTGACTCACTGAGGTTTGAGGGAAAGGAAAGAGGTGGAAGGGAAGGTCCATCTCGCTTTCCACCTCCCGCTCTCGGGAATGTTAAGATTTGTACAAGAACTATTTACCTAGTGCTTTCAAGGTTACTGTGGCATTGGTTTTTCCAAAAGGGTTTTCTGCTTGGCACGTGAATTCTCCAGAATCATTAACTCCCACTGAACGGATGCTCAATGTTAATTTCCTTTCGTATCCATAATCACCCAAATTTCTGCTTTTGCTTGTAACAATCTGTCGGTAAAAAACAATTAACATCTAAGGCACTGTGTATGCAGCATCTTTCCTAGATAAATTAAAAATAGAAGTAATTATAACTTTGCTATATTAATATTCATAACATTAAACCGGAATAATAAGCCAGCACGGCAAACCTGTCACTAGAGTCTCTCCATGCAAAACAAGTGTGTGATCAGCTGTCTTTGGGAGAGAATGTCTTCTTCTAACTCTTACCCCCTCCCCTTATTCTTTATTTTTTTTCCTCCTCAAGCTCCACTGTAAGACAAGAACATGTGTGTGTCTGTGTGTGTGTGTGTGTGCGTGTGCACCTGCTACAAGAGAGCCAAATGGGAACAATCAGCCCTAGCCATAAACTCCAATTTTTCAAATATTTCAATCACATGGAGAAAAAGGTGTTGTGCCCAAGGTCAGACCCAGCTCACTCTCGTCTGATTTCTAATGGTGAGGAACTGACAAAAGGTTTTATTTGCACTAACAATGCTTCTAACTGTAGGGCTTAATGCAAAATGAACCCTGTGTCTTGATTTTCCTAGTACTCAGAAGCTGCAGCTATTGTAAAAAGTCAGTGCAACTCTGAAGTGTGGTGTGAACCACACTCACGTGGTGCCTAAAAAAAAAAAAAAAAAAAAATCACTGAACTCTTAACAGTTGCAATGCTTCCCAGTGAATGATGAGAGAATTTAAGGTGCTGGAGCTTCATGTTAAACTGGGTCGCTCTATGCCCCAAGTCTGTGGCATCTCTTCACTGCAGACGTGCTGCAGAGAGACCTGCTCATGGCACGCTCTGCATGGCATCCTTGCTCTGGAACCCGCTCTGCTTCTTGGTCCATAGCAACCCAGATTTATTAATTTTACAGGCAAATGGAAACTTAATTTTCCTTCCAAAGCTTTGTGATTCATGACACTATGCCTATGCGAGCTGGAACTAAATTAAAAATAAATGCTTTGAGGTGTTGACTTCAGTTTCTGTTAGAATGTTCACTGTGGTGGGAAAGATAAATTTACATTGATTAATCCAACTGCAGACCTGGGCTTGCTGTGATTTTCTAGCAGAATGATTTCAATTCTTGGAAGGGCCAAGAGGTTCTAGATAAATTTAATCTTCTCAACATATTTTTGGTTCCTCCTGAACTATAATAATCACAAATAGCACTTTGGTTTGTATGGATGTGCTTGCTTATAACAAGTCTCCTAATTTTTGAAAGTGGCAATAACTTCAGTCATACAAGGGAAGCAGTTTGGGGTTTTTTTCCCTTTGACCTCTTCAGGACAAAATGTAATTCTGCATCTATATAAACATGAATTTTATGTATTCTGTTTCAGTACAAAATTTAATTTGATAGTCAATATTTAAAAGATCACATCCCATGCTATTTACCAGAAAGGACAGAAAGGTCAAACTTATTTGGTCAAAAATATTTTCCTTGTGGCTTTTACTCATGAAATGAAAAGCAATAACGCAGAAAAACTTAAGGGAAGACCCCGATTTCATCACACTGTAACAAAGGAAAGGCAGGGAACGATAGAAGAAATGAAGTTCTCAGATGACGGACGTGTAGTTCACCTTGGCACAGGCCCAAAAGCCCCATCTGCACCTCCTCAACCCTTGGAGCTGTGAGGTGGGATTTCTGGAGCAGCGAGCACTTAGTGGGAGCAGCTCTGCCAGAGCCGGCGGATTAGCTAAGCATGGCATGCCCAGCCCCAGGGAATAGGCTTCCCGTTCGCTATCTGCCTGAGGAGATGTGACTTACCCAAACATCACAGAACCCTTTATTTCCATACACATGTGGACAGCAAATTATGTATTCTGGTCACTACCATTAGCAGTGAAAGACCAGCCAATTAGCATGGGAACGTATACAGCGGGAGTTACTAACAGGTCTTCACAAGGGCTTTTGAGTCATTTCAATTTCAGAGTATGCCCAGAAGACCAAGGAGCATCCTTAAAAACAACCCGGTGCCTGCTGCTCATCTGAAAGGCAGAGCTGGCCATACGCTGTGTGACCAGGGGAGAGGATATCTCTGCCCCTCGGCTGCAGAATAGCTGCGCTGCCAGTAATGAACCCTCCTGGAGCACTCAGCCTGCCAATAATTTAATTTGGTGATGCCAGGCAGTAACTATCAGACAGAAGCCAGTTCACAGCTTCATTTTTCAGAAGTTTCCCAGTTAGTGATGCACACCATGTAATTTAAATGAATTAATCATTCCTGCGAACGCTTACTACTATTCCTGTCACATACAATCCCATGCTAATTAGCAGGTATTTTACTGTTAATGATAACGACTAGAATATGTAATTTGCAGTCCATGTGTTGATATTTGCAGCTTCCATTGATTGCAATGTGATGTGTAGGCACTCCGTGCTTCCCTATTTAGGCAACCCAGCAGAGGTCACCTAAACTTCACATTGAAGAGCCTAACTTTAATTTCTCTTTGGGAAGAGAAGCCTGTGCAGATGGTTTTACGCCCAGCATGGGCACTGAACAGTTGTTGCTGGCCCTTCACCAGTCTGTGGGATGCGGGACCTCTGGAAATGCAACAAATCCAAACCGACGTAGCATCAGGTATCCAACACAAGCACATTAATGTCTCCGAAGAGTTTGTTACGGGGATATACAAGACACAATTAAAGGAACTCACCCCACTTCTGTGAAAAACCCAACTAGCTTGTACGCTGCTATCCACATCCATGATTATACATGTAACTTCAAATTCTTCCCCTTCTTTGAGAAGCTCGTAGCTTTTGGATAAGGTGATGACGGGAAGAGTTTTGTGAACTGGAAAACAATTTGGAAGTGCATTACTTTTCATTAGCTTCAGAGCTTCCAAGGGGGGATAAAAATCAACAGTCATTAACTTTCCAATAAAATTTCAGGCCCCTGAGAGGTATTCAGATTTCTTTAACGTATTACCCAGTTGTTCTTTACAACAAGCACATTTCTCCTTCAATCTCCCTTCAAATTACACTTAGATAATACTTGTTAGAGCTTAGAAACTTGCATGAAGAAACTTGAACAGTGTTGAACTGTCAATGAGACAATTAATTCTATGAAAGCGATTAAAACACTGCACTCTAACCAAAAACACGGTGACGATCAGCCACTGAAGAACTGCAGCCTAGCATTAACAGCAACTTTTAATTAAGCATTACTACAGCTGATGCGAAGCACTGTCCTACAGATCCCAGAAAAGCCCCTGATGGGCACGAAGGACAGGTACAGCTCAAGGACTTCAGCACACCCGCCTTGGAAAGTGCCACCACCTCTGCTTAGGGCGACGGCTCGCAGAGGTGGTTGGAGCCAAGAACGTGGATAACTCCACCAGCCCGGAGGTCGGTGGTTACAAGCACCTGTGGGTCAGCTGTACCCCTGTTCTACTTCAGGGTATCTTTTGCCAATAGTCAAGTATATTTGAGGACTATGTGTCTCTTATCTCCACAAAGCTCTTCAGCTTTTCCTCTGTTCCATCCACAGTTTGTTTTTTCTGTTTTCTTCATCCTTTCTTCAAGTTCTCCTCATTTATGAGATTCCAGTGAACTTCCCACTAGGGTTCTTGCACAGGAAGACTCACTTTCAAACTGTGAATGCAGCATGTATCAGATAAGGCCTTCCAGACTCTCTTCCTGCCTCCAACACAGGCTTTGTAGTTGTCTTAGGTAAATTATACGAAACTTAGGGAAACGTCATGCGTTTCAGCCATTCATACTTTAACAATAATGTTTTCCTCATGCTCTACAGAAGAGAACAAAGAAACATGTTTGGTCTCTTCAGATATAAAGGCTCACATAAAAATTCAACGCCCCCCCCCGGCATCCAGCAGTACCCTAGAGACAGGAGGAAGCCGGTGCAGAAGGCGTGCTGTGTTCTCACCCTGTGTTGGGTTTAGGGTGGGGGGGAGAGATGTTGGTAGCTGGGAAAGGGCCAGAGGGGTGGCTGCTGGAAGAAACTGCTGGAAGCTCCCCTAGCTCCAAGTTGGATCTGCCTCTGGCCATGGCCAAGCCAGTCAGCACCTTTGTGATTAACATGTTTAAGAGAGGAAAACACAAAAAGAGAAGCAGCAGTAGAACAGAGTGGAAAGAGGAGGGAAAAGAGAGGAGTGGGATGCGAGACACAAGGCAGACACCCAGGTCAGCGCAGAAGGCAGAGGAAGATGCCCAGAGCAGAGATTCCCTGGCAGCCTGTGATGAGAGGGCAGGCTGTGCCCTGCAGCCATGGAGGGTCATGGGGCAGCAGAGACCTGCCTGCAGCCTGGGGACCCCACACCAGAGCAAGGGGATGTGCCCAAACAGCCCCTGACTCCATGGGAAACCCAGGCTGGAGCAGGGGGCTCCTGAAGGACAGCACCCCGTGGAAGGGACCCATGCTGAAACAGTGCATGAAGAACTGCAGCCCATGAGATAGACTCACGTTGGAGAAGTTGGTGGCGGGCTGTCTCCCGTGGGACCCCACGCTGGAGCAGGGGCAGAGTGTGAGGATGCTACTCTCAGGGACAGTGTGTGATGGCCTGACCACAGCCCCATTCCCTGTCCCCCTGCACCACTGATGGGAAGGAGGTAGAGAAATGGGGAGCAAAGCTCAGCCTGGGATTTTTTCCCCAAGTTGAATCTGTTTTGCCCATGACCATAACAGATGAGTGATCCCTCCTTGTCCTTGTCCTTTCCTTCTTTCTCCTCCCCACCCCACTGAGGGGAGGAGTGAGAGCGTGGCCATGTGGTCTTCTGTTCCTGGCTTGGCCTAAACAACGACACATCCATCGGCAACATCTACAGACAACCCAAAGAACGCCGTGTTTTGAGAAGGGGTGGACGTAAACACTCCCTGTGCCATTGTAGCAGGGATGGTGTATGTCTGACTACACCTACACAGCTCCCCGTTTCTTGGATGCCTCTTCTGCACCAGCAGCTCAAGTCTGGCTGTCTGAGAGCCACGGTTATGATGGCAAAAACAACGCCCACCAAAGGGTCTCCAACACACTTAAGTCTTCAGCCAAGGCGAAGGTAGCAGTTTTACCTGGTGAACTCGACAAGGATTGGACAATACAGCACAGTAATTACAACGCTGAGGACGACAACGCTGCTTTACTGCTGATGACCTTCAACAGATGCTTCCACCTCCTGCACGCCTTCCCCTGGACGGAGAAGGCAGGCAGAGCAGCGAGATCCCACGGGCCACCTAAGGCTGCCCACCCTCAGTGGGCCACTGGCGATGGATGCCAGGTCAGCACCCTCCCATCCGGTCACCACTGTAGCAAGCAAGTACAGACTTTTATCCCGTAAAAAAATGAAGTAGTCCAATACTACAACTTGCACTCTGCTACATCAGAGAAATGTCAGTTATGTCAATCAACTGCTTGCTTTCTTTGGGCATCACTGAAAAAACAGTTGGGAAAAAAACAAACTTGTTACAGAACAAACAACAGGGACGACAAGAACAGACTTGATTTTTGTCAAAGGAAAATGCCAGGGATGCCCGTACTGATTAAACTTTTCTTGTCTTCTCATTAATTGAAATTTAGTATTCATTAAAATTCACTCTATCACAGTTTCCAAGTCACCAGGAAAAAGACCATCAATTTGCCACAGCAAACTGCACACTTGAGATGGCCTCTGCTGCCCACCGCATGTCTCACCACGAGGTAGCACAGCACCGGG